GACTCTCCCCGGCGCGGCAGGCCGGGCCCCGAGGCGCCCCTGCGCCGGTCCCGCCGGGCGAGCTGCGGGCGCCTCAGCAGAGCAGGCCACGCCCGGAGGATTTGGGCGGCTAGTTTTGGGCGCCCGTTTGCCTAAAGCGCGGCTGCGAGCGCCTGGCAGGGCTGGGGTGTCGCTGCCGGGGGTGGTGCTACAGCCCGGCATCAAAGCCATTTTCTATGGCGAGAGCAAGGCTGGCTGGAGCAACTGGGAACAGTGCGAGGTGCAGCGAGCCAGTCTTCCTTGGCTGGGGAGAGCCGACTTCCTGCCACCTCCCTGTTCACCCCTCCTGTCATCCAGCACACCTGGGCAGCAGCTCGGGCTCCCAATCGCCTTGCTGCACAATCTCCTGAGGCAAATGCCCCCATGAATCTTTTGCTTGATACTTGCGCACTCGCCTTGGTCATGACACCGCTTTGTGCCGTGCAGCTCTGATTCAGGTTTGTTAATGACCTTCGATTCCTTGCCCCCTTACTGAGGTGAGCTGAGGACATTTTCACTTTGTTTCTATCTGAGGCAGTGTATTGCAGCCTTCTACAGATATTGCCCAAACTACCCTTTCTTTTGCCCTGGAGGTAAGGAGTCATAAGAGAGAAATGGGGAGCCTAGTAAAGTGATTCCAAAATAGCGACAGATAAGTTCTCTGTGTAAATGCTTGAAGCCTCCCCAAAGTGATTCTAGTTTCTCACTCTCTCCAGGTATCTTTTGTATGATGTAAATCCTCCTGAAGGGTTCAATCTACGCAGAGATGTCTATATTCGTGTTGCCTCTCTTCTAAAGACCTTGCTGAAAAGTGAAGCTTGGGTATTGGTCCTGCCTCCTTGGGGACGTCTTTATCACTGGCAGAGTCCTGACATTCATCAGGTCCGAATCCCTTGGTCTGAGTTCTTTGATCTTCCAAGCCTCAATAAAAACATCCCTGTTATTGAGTATGAGCAGTTTCTTGAAGGTAAAGTACATTTATTCTACTACCTGTGAGGGGTTAATAAATCTTTGATGTGTTTCCTTCACAGGTTTTTCTGTTTATGAATCCATTAGTACAAGGTGTGTACGGTATTACTTTTTGTGCTACTCTAAAGAGGAGTTTTGAAATCTTTGCTCAATGATTGAGCAAGTTGTGTAAGTTTCTTCTCAGATGCTTATATTTGACAGTAGGAAAACTTACTTCTAACAAGTTACCATGTGTCATTGCAAAGAAAGATCTGTTTCTAACCCAAAGAGCACTGTTAGTGTAACTGCACTTCAGGGGTGGCTCTATGTATTTTGCTGCCCCAAGCACGGCAGTCTGGCAGCCTTCAGCGGCGCGCCTGCGGGACGTCCGCTGGTAACACGGATTCTGCAGCATGCCTGCGGGAGGTCTGCCGGTCCCGCGTCTTCAGTGTACCCGCCGCCGAAGCCGCGGGACCGGCGGACCTCCCACAGGCATGCTGCTGAAGGCTGCCTGACTGCCTCCCTCACAGCGACCGGCAGGCTGCCCCCTGCAGCTTGCCACCCCAGGCACGCACTTGGAGCGCTGGTGCCTGGAGCCGCCCCTGCTGCACTTCTGTCAGTTTAGTATCCTCAAGCTAGTCACCATGAAACTAATCTGAGAAATGAGAAGAAAATTTGAATTAAACAGGAGTACCTGTGTTATATAGAGTATAGGGCCAAGGAAGGCCGGAGAGAAGAAAACTGACAATCTTGTTATCGCCTTATTCAGAAGTGGTGACTTTCAACAGACACAGTATGTTCAGAACCTGATTTTCCTCTCTTTCTAAAATGTAACTACAGAGAAGCTCATATGACCAAAACAGGTCATTGTGTGTGTTTGAGTCTGTTCTAATTTACACTGGGGGCCAGAACAATGGCCAGGTAGGTGATTCGGGATGAAGGGAGCACAAAGGGGCGCTGTGTGCCCCTGCCCGAGCTATTTGTAAAACATGAAAATATCTTGTGCTTTCATTCACTTTGAGTGAAATTGACTCCATCTGCCTAAATCCCAGGTAATCTTGTTCTGTGTGGAGGGGTTGGTGCAATTCACGCTCTCTTCCCAACTCAGGTTCAGTGTGTTATGCTGCTGAACAAGCCTCCATTCCCCAGGGGGGAATTGAAGGTGAAGGGTCTTGGTCTTTCCAAGTGGCATAGTAGAGTTTTGTTTCTCTCATCATCATTATTAAGGATGGCTTTCTAAGATATACTGGAATAAGCATATTTTCATTTCAGTCCGGTAGGTGTGCTTTGGTTGACACGGTGATGGGAAGTGTTAAAGCTTGAGAGTTTGTGACAGAGTGAAAAGAACGAGGAGTACTTGTGGCACCTTAGAGACTAACAGATTTATTTGGGCATAAGCTTTCGTGGGCTAAAACCCACTTCATCAGATGCATGGAGTGGAAAATACAGTAGGAAGATGTATATATAGATAGATATATACACACACGCACACACACAGAGAACATGAAAATGGGGGTTGCCTTACCAACTCTAATGAGACAAATCAATTAAGGTGGGCTATTATCAGCAGGAGAAAAAAAACTTTTGTAGTGATAATCATGATGGCCCATTTCAAACAGTTGACAAGGTGTGAGTAACATAGCGGGGAGAAATTAGCATGGGGAAATAGTTTTTAGTTTGTGTAATGACCCATCCACTCCCAGTCTTTATTCAAGCCTAATTTAATGGTGTCCAGTTTGCAAATTAATTCCAGTTCTGCAGTTTCTCACTGGAGTCTGTTTTTGAAGGTTTTTTGTTGAAGAATTGCGACTTTTAGGTCTGTAATTGAGTGTCCAGGGAGGTTGAAGTGTTCTCCGACTGGTTTTTGAACGTTATAATTCTTGATGTCTGATTTGTGTCCATTTATTATTTTGCGTAGAGACTGTCCGGTTTGGCCAATGTACATGGCAAAGGGGCATTGCTGGCACATGATGGCATATATCACATTGGTAGATGTGCAGGTGAACGAGCCCCTGATGGTGTGGCTGATGTGATTAGGTCCTATGATGGTGTCCCTTGAATAGATATGTGGACAGAGTTGGCAATGGGCTTTGTTGCAAGGATAGGTTCCTGGGTTAGTGTTTTTGTTGTGTGGTGCGTGGTTGCTGGTGAGTATTTGCTTCAGGCTGTGGGGCTGTCTGTAAGCGAGGACTGGCCTAGGGTGACCAGATGTCCCGATTTTATAGGGACAGTCCCGATTTTTGGGTCTTTTTCTTATATAGGCTCCTATTACCCCCACCCCCGTCCCGATTTTTCACATTTGCTGTCTGGTCACCCTAGACTGGCCTGTCTCCCAAGGTCTGTGAGAGTGAGGGATCGTCCTTCGGGATAGGTTGTAGATCCTTGATGACGCGCTGGAGAGGTTTTAGTTGGGGGCTGAAGATGATGGCTAGTGGCGTTCTATTACTTTCTTTGTTGGGCCTGTCCTGTAGTAGGTGACTTCTGGGTACTCTTCTGGCTCTGTCAATCTGTTTCTTCACTTCAGCAGGTGGGTCTTGTAGTTTTAAGAACGCTTGATAGAGATCTTGTAGGTGTTTGTCTCTGTCTGAGGGATTGGAGCAAATGCGGTTGTATCTTAGAGCTTGGCTGTAAACAATGGATAGTGTGATGTGGTCTGGATGGAAGCTGGAGGCATGTAGGTACGTATAGCGGTCAGTAGGTTTCCAGTACAGGGTGGTGTTTATGTGATCATCGCTTATTAGCACTGAAGTGTCCAGGAAGTGGATCTCTTGTGTGGATTGGTCCAGGCTGAGGTTGATGGTGGGATGGAAATGGTTGAAATCCTGGTGGAATTCCTCAAGGGCTTCTTTTCCATGGGTCCAGATGATGATGATGTCATCAATGTAGCGCAAGTAGAGTAGGGGCGTTAGGGGATGAGAGCTGAGGAAGCGTTGTTCTAAGTCAGCCATAAAAATGTTGGCATACTGTGGGGCCATGCGGGTACCCATAGCAGTGCCGCTGACTGGAAGGTATACATGTTCCCAAATGTGAAATAGTTGTGGGTGAGGACAAAGTTCAGCCACCAGGTGCAGTGACTGTTGTAGGGTCAGAGTGAACGCGATAGATGAAGTTAGGGGTGATGATACCGAGGCAAAAGTGTAATAACTTTATGCTATAATGAAGCTGATTGGACTCTTCCTTCAGGTAGGCATTACCTGAATAAAACCTCTCAGGAGGCTTTCTCCACTGTGGCACACAGCGTACAATAGATCCTCAGTCCCACCACATAACTTGCCTTTCAATTTTTGTGCTATTTTCTAGACACGTGTTATTTTAATGTGATTTCAGTAAAAGTCACAGTGTTCATTGGTTTTAATTTTTGTGTTTTACCTTCGTTGCTTGTGATTTTTTTTTTTTTTTTTTGGTCACTTCTTTGGAAATGTCTTTCCCTACTGTCGCTATCTTTATGCAGTTGAGAGGAAAAAGGTATACTCTTTCTTGCTCAAAACAAGTCCGCTCCATCATTGTCATGATACTCGTAGGTATTGGGTCTTGTTTTGTGCTCACTCTGCTGCCTTTTCAGTAAAGCTAAATAACATACAGCAATAAATCATTGTAAGTAGATATGAAAATGTCCTATTAGATCTAGTTGATGCCTTTGCAAGGGCAGAGGACAGTTGTCTGTCCCCTTCTGGATTCTAAGTGTCTATATAATTAACAAACCCACCACAAGTGCTGATGAATTGCCTTTTGGCTGAGTTCAGTCTTACTGACAATCTACCCTCCACGAAGTTATAACAATTTCAAGGAAGGTCAAATTTCAGGCCCTGGCAAAATTGAGTGTCTTACAGTAATTAAGTCAAATATTTTTATAAGTACGTGAAGAGATGTTAATGAACATATATAATTCCAGGTATGAATTAGGATCCTCATCCTCTGTGCCCAAGCCTAAATAGTTTTAAATATTTTTTTTAAAATGCTGTAGTAAAAGCAATTACAGACTGACTTTATCACATTGGTTTGAAAAAACAAGACCACTCTTTAACTGTAAAAGCCCAGAAGACATCTGAAAGATTAAACTTTAATTGTTTTACACTCCTAATTAAAACATAGCCAAATTTCCCTGAACTTCGTAGTACAATGTAATAGCCCTTAGGACTTTAAACACGTGAAAATGGCAGGGCTGGCAATTTTCTTATATTTAAAGAGTGATCAGGACTCAGACTCCAGACTTTGGCATGAGAAGACAAGGGCTTGTGGGGAGTGGGTGGAGAAGGAGAGAGAAAAATATTAAAGGTAAGAGCAAAGGGATGGAAGAGGCCAACTCTGAAAATGTTCATATTTTATAATAAAGCTTTAGGAAAAAATAAGCCTGTTTACCTGGTAGCAGCTGTACTTACTCCTAGTACAGTACTAGAGCCCATCCAGTGCCTGTGGAAGCTAAAGGAGAGATTCTTATTGACTTCAGGGAGAGTTGGACAAGGCCCCTTCTGAGAAAACTCACTGAGCTGGCCTTTGGGAGCAGCCCTGTTGCAAACAGCATGGCCAGCCTGCGCTCAGTTCTCACATGCGTGCTCTGAAGACCATCTCTTAGGTGAATGACATGCCGGTCTTCTTCTGGGAGTCCCATTGTGCTTGTTTTTTAAAAAAAATATGGATGCACAGAAGAGACTTTGTGGCCAGTTCATCCCTAGAGTAAATCCATTTTCCTCAGTGGAGTTACAACAAAGATGAATTTGGCCCTCCATAGTCAAGGTTGTATGGAGACTGTCAGTGTAAGTTATATTTTCTACCCACACCCACACTCCTAAATTTTGATGGGAAAGGGCAATTTGTGTGAAAGCTTGTGTGGCTAAAGTAGATTAGGAAGAAGACTTTTTACCTGAGAACTTGGAAACTGGAAGCATAAATCAAGTACACTTACATGCTGATAGTTACTTCTCTTTGCTTCCTATTCAGAGTCAGGTGGACCCTTTATAGACCAGGTATATGTCCTACAAAGCTATGCAGAAGGATGGAAAGAAGGAACTTGGGAAGAGA